GCTGCTTTTTATCTGTCAAATCCATCTTCCTTTCTCAATCTGTATTTCACTACCAAATATTTCTGTTCCGAATGTAATATGGCTAGCCAACCTAGAATTTAATAGACATATTTCTCAGGTTTTGTGCATACGAGCTAAGTAACCCAATATCAATTGTTGATCATGATTACTCCATAATATTAAAAACTGTCAACCTGGATACATTGTCTGCACGAAGAAGAATAGCTGACCATAGTTTTATCTTTAATTTAATTATTAATCACGTTGATTGCTCCTCTCTTCTTACGCAAATTAATTTCTATCTGCCAGAACGTGTATTGAGATTTAGAGCAGGTTTTCATATACATATGTCCAGATCTACATATGGATTAATTCATTCAATTTATCGCATTATTTCTGATTCACGCACTCTTTGTAATCGTATAGACTTTTTTTTATGGGTCTTTACAAACTTTCAAAAGACAATTACGGATGATTATTGATTAAAGCTGTTCTTCCTGGACAAAGCGATTATAAGCACGTCCCTTCGGTGTCATATTATGTATAATTTGTTTCCTCTTCTTTTATATGTGAAATTTTATGTAAATGGATTACGGTCCGTCTACGAATAAAATAAAATAATAATAAATATTGTAGTATCGCAAGTTTTCCACTGCATGTAAGTACACGTAGCTTTACGAAAGTCAACGAGGGTTCGAAGGCCAGGTCAATCGGAAAAACAATGCGACCTTAGCACGACCATATTTGGTCATGTTGAGGGAAGCACTGGAAAACGCGTGCATGGTGTGCATGGTGTGAAGAAGGATATAAAAGGACAAGGACGTTCTGAGTTTACAGACTTGTCGATTAGAGAATTGCTAAGTCAGTTGAGAGTTGTCAAAGTTAGTTGCCAGAGTTGTTTTTGCTAGTTGTGAGTTGTAATAGGAGAGTTGCTGCAGAAGTGTAGGTTGGGCGTTGTGATGAGTTGCAATAATTCGAATCTTTATCGTTACTCGCACACTCTATCACTGTTAATTTATTATTAAGTAAATAAATACCATGAAAGAAATCCCTCTACAATATTATACCTCACATATTTGTATTAGTGCTTGAAACTTTTGTTGCCATAAAAAATAATTCTTGACATCTAATTGTCTCTGAACGCTGGTAATATTCTACGAGTCCAATATTTTTCTCCTACTTGTACGTGCTCATTTATTCAACAGAATATTGTCTTTCTACAACCAGGTTCTGCTGCTATCGCCAATAGAAGATAGAAAAACAATGGGGGCAGGCAATACAACTTCCGTAACTATTTTTCGAAAACGAACAGTCCAAATCGAATAAAATCGATTAGACTAATTCGGAAGAGAGCCGCAGGGGGTTCTCCCTCCTCTCCCCCATGGTTGTTGCTAATCGACTGGTCGCAGGATCCTCGGTTATGGTGTGGTGTTAGAAGTGTTGGAAGGAGAAGGGACGAAAGGAAAGGGACGGAAAAGGAGGAGTGTGCGTTTTGTCCCCGGCCTGCTAGTGGGGACTGACTCATCACTATGGCTACCTTAACAGGCCTGCCTTCGACCGGGAGGTTATTCGAGGCTCTGGAAGTTATATGTATAGAAAGCGGAGGTTTTCCGAGGACTTGCGAGAAAGACCTCGAACCTCCTTGCAGTCAGAATCCATCTAGTGGCGAGAGTAGGAACGACGGTCGCTGCAAGCCTATTCTAACGAAGTAGGTAAAAAAATTCCTATTGGCAGTCCAAATTGCGAATAGATAAGCGACAACAGGTTATTATGCACTAGGTTGTCACCGACGCTTGCACTTCCGTCAGTATTTTTCGCAAACGAACATGGAAAATCCGAAAAAGACCATTGAACTAATTTGGGAAGAACCTATGCTAAGCTAATAAATCGAAGAATTCTAATTCGCTATCGAAATCTAACGTATGCCATTACGCAGCACGTATTGACAATCACTTGCACTTCCGTCACTTTATTTTGCATGTGCACCGTCAAAGTCGAAGAAGAATTGGGAAAACTGTTAAAGAACTGTCTGTTCCGTGCAATGTTGACCGAATTTCCCAATGGATGATCGAATCTAGAATCTACAATCAATATGTGACTTTGATTTCTCCGAGGAGAATCATCGTTTAGCGCAAATGGATTGAAGAGGCGTTTCCTGTATCATTACATTGTACTTTAACCGTTCGAGTACCACGAGTTTTTCTCGTTTTCCAGTCAATAGGCAACCGGCTGAGTAATTCACGATGTGTTTCGTGTCCAAAAAAGCCGAACAGTACAATAGTTCTTGTTTCATATCGTATCAAAAAATGCCAAGGAGCGCAATTGCGCTGTTTTCTGTTTATATACGTTCCGTCTATAACGGAACATGAAATATTACTTGCATTTCATCAAAATTTTCCTATAACTAAACGGTAACCATTATTGCTAGCAAAAAGCGAGGGGATAAATACGGCGGGTTGTTTAGAAGACATTGCTTTGCAAAGATCTTTATTTCACTGCTACTCCTTTGGCTCGAGAAGGTTGGGCACTGTTCATCCAACCGTCTGGTTATCAACGAATATAAATGTTATCTCCGAAGTATAAAAAGTCGGAAATCCTTATCTTTGCCCCACTATAGCGATCGCCTCAGCGACCTGAGTTATGAGCTGAATTACTAACACACACACGTCGACGGAAACTGATCATGTGGAAACTGTCATCTTTACAACCTACTGGCAATTTCGATACAGGAGTGGCGAAACGCTATCGTGCCAATCGGCACACGAACGGTTATCAAAATCGTGCAACATTTTTTGTTACGCGGTGCATATGGAGTATCCCGCCTTGGCATCGCTGAATAAGCCGTGAGGTCGGTATTTCTAAGGTTTATAACACGATCGGAGAGATAGACTATTTTAGAGTTGGGCTCTAGGTATATTGGAGGGCAATGAAACTAATATTCTTTCAAAGCTTCATTTCGCTCAATAGCCAAAGGACGTGTTATAAACAAGAGCAATGAAACTAATATTCTTTCAAAGCTTCATTTCGCTCAATAGCCAAAGGACGTGTTATAAACCTCGGTAATTCTGAAGGGTCATCCCGAAGTCCCGCTATGGGTAACAAACTACCGACACATCGGACCTGGACGAATACCGTAACCCTTGGGAAAAACCCACGACCTCACGCCTGCTCAAGTGTCATCCCACCTTTCCAGTACAAGGCGCGCCAAGGGCACATGGAAGGGTGATCACGACACTCAGGATGCCGCTGATTGGGAAATTAACATTTTTCTAAACAACCAATCAGCGCGCATCCTCGACATGCCAAGGCGAGGAACTGATTAGCGGAAAAACGTCAGTCAGTCAAATTCCAACCTTCAAAGAGTCACAATCGAACTTTTAAACTACCACGTTAAAACCTTCTACTTCATCGTGACTCCGGGGAAAGGAGTAAGGAAGAAACAGATTAACATTCGGGCGACCAAATAACAATAAAAGCTCTAGACCGTGAAACGTCTAGAGCACCCCACGCGTTCATAAGAAGGAAATAACTTCGATACATTCGCGACGCGTGGGAACATTTTTATTCCTTCTTTTCCTTCTACGCGCAGAAATCAGAGAATTATTTAGAAAAGGAGCGTCTCACTGTTTTTAACGATTTTTGCATACGTTAGAGAAATCAACATTTAGGACAATATATTTCTATGTATGTAACCGCCACTAGGCCTCAGTTCCCGTGACTTCTGCAAAAAGCTATTGCTATTACTGCAATGAATATTGCTTTTAGCTACGAGTCTGTGATAGCGTTTTATGTAAACGTTGAGTCGCCGATTAAATTACGGTTTCTATAAAAATCATCGAAATCAGTGGCACCAAACATATCCAATCCCTGGCCCCTTGGGGAACGTGACGAGACTCTGTGAGATTTATAACGCCGACGAAGGGGCGAGGAGCTTACGCCGCTTTCGCAGAAAGATGCCATCTTTTTCTATGACCTCACGCTTTGGATCGTATGTGGCAATGTTGGTGGTGAATGAGTGGTGCACCTTCACATGTAAATAGGAAGTACGATCACGTGGTGTGTTTTCCTCCAGATAGTGTTACATCATTTACGTATCGGTCCCGTATGAAGGCACTATACCGTCGCCTCTCGTCCGATTCAGTACCTTGAGGAAATCGTTCCAGAGAATTAAGTAAGTACTATTACCATCTATTCTTAACTTGATCTGTATCGTCGTCAGGTTTCAGCCGAACCATGTAACATCTTCCTTTCTTATTTTTGTCGTCCATTGTTCGTTTGTAGTGACACTAGCAAATCAAGTACTTCAATGATTCGCTAGTATAGACGATAGCAATCAGTGAATATTTGTGTTTTACTTTCAGCAATTTTCAAGTCAAGATGTTGTTAATCAGTCTTGCAGTAGCGATAACCTTCTCGCCGTTCATCGTACTTGGAGATGTCGTACCTATCGCAGATGCATTTGATGTCTGTCAGAATGAAACGCTAACATTAAATTTACCTAGAGAAACTTGGCTTAGTAGCGGCTTCATTGTTTCTCCTTCGTTAAGATGCATAAAAATACGTGGTGATAATATTAATATTGAGAACGGAACATTCGATAAGGTGTCAAATTTATTGTACCTTGATCTCAATTACAGTGCAAACTCTGCAGAATATTTATTCTCTTTCGGAAGTCTTCCAAATGTGAGAATTCTAAATCTCGGTAATCAAAATATCTACAATCAGGTCCCATTAAAGATTGAAAGAGTATATCCTGAACTTTGGTACTTGAATTTACAATATGCTAATATCTATGATATAAGAAGTACGTGGAGTAATCCTTTCCCCAAATTAACACATTTGGATCTCTCGGGAAACCGCATTAAAACATCTGACCTGGAAATATTTCCTGACACGTTAACGTATCTTAATCTAACTGATAATTATATCTCGCAACTCTCGTTCCCAAAGTTTAGCAATCTGACATCGTTAATATTAGACAACAATATATTAAGGGGAATAGGTGGTTGGTCCGGCCTTGATTTGAGAGGTTTGCGGAAACTGCAGAATTTATCGGTAGCGAACAATCAAATTAGTTGGATTTCTGTCCAGGATGCAACAAATATTCGATATTTGAATCTCGCTCAGAATTCTTTATCGAATATTGATTATAATGATTTTCGGTCTATGAAATTGTTAGAGGTTCTTATTTTAGATAACAATTTATTCCCAGATGTACCTTCTATGTCTCTAAACATAACTACGCTTTCGTTAAATTGTAACAGTATAAGGTATCTAAATGACAGCCTCTCTAACTTGCCATATTTAAGAAAGTTATTCCTAAACGGGAATAACATTACGCGTATTAATGAGAATACTTTCGACAATCATGAGCAGTTAGAAGAATTACACTTAGCTGATAATCAATTAACGTACTTGCCACCGAACTGGAGTCGATCTATGAAGAATCTTCGAAATCTAATTTTATCTGGGAACAAATTCACTTCGTTGAATTCGATAATTCATAGTGCTGATTTGCCTATACGACAGCTGTATCTTGATCGCAACCCCATTTTGTATCTAAATACCAGTACCTTCCAAATAATACCACAACAGATCATAGTTTACTTGAATATTGGGTCAGAATCTAATAAAATTTCATGTGCACGTCCTGAATCAGATGTGTCGATGAGTAGTCGTCGTCCAAGGTATTAGACTGCGCCTGGTCAATGGTCGACTACGTTTGGTCCATGGTGGTCTATTGCGTCTGGTCCATGGACGACTGCGTCTGGTCCATGGTGGACGTTTACATGGAGGTCGATTATGTCTAGGAATAATACAAAATAATTTTTTAAGTAGTGCGTATAGTAGTATTTAACGTTGTATGTATTAGATGTAATTCCTAGTATTCTTACGCAAATAAATATATCTCAATTGTAAAATGACGCACAGTTTGTATTGTTTTATTTTTGCCCTACCTTTCTTTATCACAAAAATAATTGTATAAACTAAATTTATAAATATGGGTCGAATGGCGATAGTGACTGCGTGCATAATAATCGTGTGTAGGAATACTTATGGCAGTGTCGAGTGCGAGCGAAGGGTGAAAGTTTAGCTATGCGTTTGAAGGTTTAGGGTGCGGAAATGACGGCTTGAAATAAGGGCGCAAGAATGTGAACGAGGGCAGTGTTTGAATAGTTAGGGTACAGTAGACAGCGTGTTTAGATAGTACGAGTGTACAGTAGACAGTAGGCAGCGAGCGATAACTTATCTTTGTCTTCCAAATATATTATTCATTTATTAATCAAAGACTCTGTGTGAGAGTACTTTTGCTCTCCTATTCTCCTCGTTTCGTATAAAACTTTCCCGAATGTCAGAATAGAAGAAGAATTTCAGAAGTTTTGTAAAAAATGCTGGATAATCACAGTCATTAACACCGATATTTATCACTTTTTGACACGTCGAAGGAATCGATATTTTGGTTAAATTTTCTTTTATAGTTATTGTCCCGTTCGGCTTTAGTTGTCGAAATATTCGCAAGTAGCTTTCGCTACTATGTACTGCATTAAATTCTGTGTATACGTAATTAAGAAGCCATATTGCTAAAATTGTGGAAATCAACATGGACGGATTTATTCTAAATAATGGGTGAACTTGTACCGTCTGTATAGACGAAGTTTATATATTTCGGGCCGCAGTATGAACAGTATGAAAGAACAGAGACTATTAGATTTAAATGGGGGTGCAAGGAAACGAGCGAGACAGTTTAAGTTATTGTGTTCTTAAGTCAGTCAGTATCGAAAGTGAGTTTAAAGTCAGCAGTCAGTTTTAAATCAGAAGTCTTAGAAATCGTTTGTAGGAAAGTTGTTAGAGCATTACATATTTACTATTGTATTACATTAATCCGTTATTTTGTTAATAAAGCTTATTTTTGTCCTATTATCACGTTAAGTGGCCAGCCCGTTTTGCTTGCCGTTCCGTTCAGACCCAGACTCGGCCGTCAAGTGGGCCACCGACAGCGGGTGAAGTGTTCATAAAACTCGGAGATACTGTACCAATTGTTATAACAGGAATTCCCAAACGTTAGGTCCAAAGATGGCGAAGAATTTAACACCAAAAGTTAGCACCTTTTGGTCCTAGCCTGGGTCAGTCCCTGAAGACCGATCGGACCCGAACGGAAAGTCTAACGCCGGTCCTTGAGTAGTATCGCGATATTATTCTAGTCGGTACCTTCCAATACGATCCTAAATATATGTACGCATATACAAACGATATCGAATCCTTTCGCGGTATTCATTTAACGAAGGGTCATCTCGGGTCCTTTTTGAAAATTGTTTTCTAGTATACGATATAAATGGTCTCTGATTCATGGTAAGAGAAGTGTACTTTCTTTATCTCTGCTTCTGCATACGCGAAGACAGAAATATATTACTTAATGATCGCTTTATCGTTTATATGAAAAGAAGTGTTTATCGTTTCTCATTATACAACTGCCATTGATAATTTCAATCAGATTCTTGTGTCACATGGAAATGAGGGAGCTTATATATTCGAGGTGCAGTGAGCAGCAGGTCTATATAAGTTCGCTGGCTTCTTAGGAGACGTTGCATTCGCTAAAAACATTGCGAATTCGTTAATATGGTATGTATTAAACGATTACCTTTTCTCTAATTTCATATATTGCTCTAATAACAAGTGTTACTTTGCGAAACACGTGATTATATCGATTACTCCAATCACTTCAGCGTTTCTTCCTTCTTCCAGAATTATTACACGACGATATCACTTATCTTCGTCCTGACACTCATAAGGGGTGAAGGTAGCCCCATAGTAGCTTTTGACCCACGGTATGAATCTGTAAACATAGAAGATTTAATACTTCACAAGGATTCCTCTGTGACCTGCAGAGAGAAGGAATTTATAAATTTGTCAGGGCTTCGTTTACAACAAATCCCTGAGAAGTTTGCTAACAGTGAAACAATCGAAGCTATCTTTTTTGATGATAATGAAATAGCTATGGTCCCACCGGATGCATTCAATGATATACCAAATTTGAAATGTTTAAATATGGCGAAAAATAAGATTCCATTGCAACAAATGCAAATTAATCATAATAGCCTAAAGACATTGATTATTGACTATCAAAGTATTTCGGAAACGAACGATTTAGTCTCAGGGGACGAAGATGAGATAAAAATGCGTTTACCAAATTTGGAAACTCTATCGTGGAAAAATATGAACTATGAGTTTTTCACACAATTTACGTCACTGTTTCATAAATTAACTCACGTTTATTTCTCCGACAGTAAATTACAATACGTGAATAAAAATATATCTCTATATTTCCCGAATTTAAACAGCATACATTTAGAACGTAATTTGATTGACAATTTACATATGGACTGTGGGAATATAGAAGCAATATATTTGGATGGAAACCCGCTTAAGAAGCTCCAGTTCGATCCGAATCAGTGCAACCTAAAAATTATTTCTTTGTCCAGTTGTTTACTGGAAGATGTGTTAAGTTTTAATGTTCAGTCTTTAAGAGTATTAGATTTATCGCGTAATCGTATTGGTTACATATCCGACGATGCGTTTAGATACACACCATTTTTGGAAAAATTAAATTTAAGTAGGAATAAATTAAAATCCTTTCCATATTTACAACATTTAAATAGCTTGACGACGCTGTGTCTTGATTACAACCTAATTAATGATATTAGAAACGTAATTCTAGTAAACTCCTTAAAAATGTTAAGTTTAAGAAGAAATTTGATAAGCCGTATTGACGAATTTACATTTTCGGCACTCACCAACCTGGAATATTTAGATTTAGCAGAAAACAATTTACATTATTTGCCTCCGAATTGGGGTCAAAATTTGAAGATGTTAACTTATCTAAATTTAGAGACGAATTACTTTGAAAATATAGAAGATATGATGCTGCATTCTGTAGTAAATTTAGAAGAATTATACATAAAGGACAGTGGCGTTACAGCAATTAGTTTAGAATCATTGCAACATATGCCAAAATGTACTATTCGTGTAATTTAAGGACTATTTGTATCTATATACATATTTGAGAAAAACATTTTTCTGTGATTGAATGTCTATAATTATTTATCTTATCGTAAATTAATAAATCGTGCAATTTGTGATAATGTCTATACCTTTTCCTGCCTCACCATGCGTAAGTACACAGTAGATATATTTTCAAGGATATGTATGCCTTAACGTACGTTAAGAGATTACACAATACTACCATAATCCAAGCGATAACTTGTCTAATCTATTAGTTATGAGATAATGTATATTCCTAAGAACTTTATAACTTGAATAATCGGTAAAAATTATTAGAAAATTAAATAAATGGTACCGATTATTATCGCGAAGAATATCTAAAAATAGTTGAAAAGTTCTTCATCTAGCCATAAAATCTTCCAATTTCTATTTATTATCATTTTAACTTACAATTCGTTTTTCATTGCGTTAGAAATTTTGTAATATTTTAGAACTATCAAAAATTCTCGTAGTACTGAATTCCTTTTGTGAAAGCAATTGTATTTCGTCTTAATGTATGTTAGTCAAACAAAACAAATGAAAATATATCAGTATAGAAAAATATTTTAATGTAGATTACAGTTTAAAGAAACTAACATCTGAAGTCTTTTTAGATCTAATTTAAAACTTGCGTTTTATTCCTAAAACATTTATTCACGGTGTCAAATATATTGAAAAATCTCCCGAGGAGTACTGTTAAATTTTTATTTTGCCTTTGATAAATTACCTGCAGTTGAAAAATTTCGAATGATGGAAAAAGTGTATAGCTTTGAATTCGTGAAACTCGAAGTATTCTTCGGTTGCGAGCAGCTTTGAGGTATCGACGTCTTTAAAAGCATATTTCTGTTGGTGGTACATGGCTTGCAAACGCAATGTCGCCCTTTAAACTTCATTACGAAGGAAAGTTGAACTTTAGAGCAATTATATTGATCCGTGTTTCTCATAACATAAGAATTACTTCTCATTAGATCAGCGATGTCTTGGCGACTATGCATATAGCAACGGAAGTTTTTGTTATACCACTGATAAACTTATCCGTTTCACTTAAGCTGTATTTAGATATCTTCGTAACCCGAGAAGGAACAGATAGATTTTGCAGAACGATGCACACTCGATCTCAGCAACTATACGAGCAAAGTGACGAATAAGGGACTCTTGGTGCCCTGCGTTCTTTTTCCCATATCTTCTGTCAACGAGAACAAACATTAATACCCTGACGTTCAGACACTTGTGTTAGATATGTTTCAAACAACAACTTACCCAGATTAAAATTTGGCGTATTTTTCTATCTTTCTTTTCTTCTATTTGTACAATTCCGTTCACATATTTTTATAATGCTAATGGCGTGAGTATCCGTCGATGAGAAAGGAGAAACCATAGCGCAATGACCGTTTCTAGCAACAGGGCCGCCCGACGTATAGGTTACAGTCCTGGGCCATACAGCAGCGTTGAATTTCTTCAACGTTGTAGCTACATTATAAAGAGACGAATTAAAATATTTAGAACAGAAGGTGCTGGATCTTTGGCATGTGTGAAGTGGAAAGTGCTTTACGTGAGACAATTCTTCGGGAAGATCGTTTCGTTTCGTTTCAATCGTTATTTCCTAATGGTAAGTTTAGCTATCTGCAAACGAGGAGAAGATTGCGATTCCTCCGTTTCTGCGAATCGTTTGTATATACACATTTTAAAAGCCGTCGTATCCTTTCCATCGAATCGACATTTGCAGATGTTCGTGCGACCATGGGGGTTACTGCTTGTGTTCCTTTTCGATACACGCTTGATATCTGGAAATCATGACATCTTACTTTCGCAGAACAAACAAACAAGGAACGATGATGATCAAGTCCGACAGCAATACAAATACCATGGTCACAGTGGTGTTCGTAACAGATATAATCCACCGACCATTCCGACTTTCAGTACTCCACGACCCTGTCAGACATACACGACATGTCCTACGCCAGTACAATATGTGCAATGTACACCGAACGCGGTTTTGAATCTTACGCATATGGGCTTGAAAAGAATTGGTGATTCTTTCATATTTAGCCCGGACACGAAGGAGCTGTATCTAGACGACAACGAGATCACTGATATTTCTGTTGCAGCATTTACGTCTCTGAAACGGCTTGAGATTTTGAGTCTGTCCGGTAACAATATTTCTATCGGCAAAATGTTATCGTACAAAAGTCACGAAGCTTTGCAAAAACTGATTTTAAACAACAACAAGTACAATGGAGAAGACACGAGTATCGAAAAGATATTCGAACCGTTAAGGAGACTGCAACATTTGTCGCTTAGGAGAAATGGAATTTCTCAATTGAATATCGTAATGAAAGATTTCGCGCCATATCTGAATTCGTTGGATTTGTCAGGAAATAAGCTCGAATCGATAAATGTTAATAATTTCCCGGAAACTATCGCTTATCTTTATTTGGACGATAACAAGTTCACAAACTTAAATTTGAACAATTTAAACATCAATGAACTGTCTCTAAGCGGGAACAAGTTTCAAGAATTATGCGATGTAAATTGCGTAGATTCCTGGCTGTCACTAAAAGGAAAAACGAAATTGTCGAAGCTGAACGTGTCCCATAATATTATCAGCAACATGAAGGATGGTACGTTTGCGAATATGAAAAGTCTCGTCACGTTAGATTTATCTCATAACAGAATAGTATCGGTTCCGAACGATATTTTCAACGAGCTATCTTCATTGAAAGAACTTCGGATCAATCACAATCTTTTAATCATTATACCAAACATATGCTCGTTAGGTTATATAAAGCATTTGAATATAAGCAACAATCGAATAACAGAAGTGACGTCCAGTAGATTTTGCAGGCTGATGTATTTAGAGACGCTGGATTTATCGAACAATTATATTTCGATTATCAAGGATGATAATTTCGTAAATCTACAAAGCTTACGATGGTTAGACCTTTCGAATAATAGGATCCATAAATTTCCCACAATATTAATCAGTGAAATGGCATACCTTAATACTATCTGGTTGAAGAATAATAGTATCGATGACATCAGTGACTTGTTTAACACGAATTCAAATACTGTTCACGACCTGCACCTTGAGGAGAATCCATTATTATCCCTAAAAATTAGCCGTCAGAATTTAACGTTATATGTGAAAGAGGTTAAGTCACGTGTCATGGATAATGTAATTGATACCGAATTGGCACAGGAATTACAGAAAGATAATTTATCTATGAGTACGAAAGATACAGATTTCTAGAGTTGGAAATCTTCATACTAAAATTATTATACCTTCGTTATGCATGTGCTAGACGATTTCGAGGTAAGTTCCGTACAAACTATTTCTCCTTTGATGTATCCTTATTAAAATATTCTTATTTAACTTGTTTTTTTTTCTAGTTTTCCGGATGCCTTAAAATACTGCACGAGTTTCCACATTTCTTCCCACGAAGATCTTTCGTCTGATAAATGAAAGAACGGATTAATGTTTGATGATCCAATTGTTGCTTTGTTACAATACTAATAACCGATGTGGATTGTATTTGGAAAGGAAACAAGTATCGTCGCATATATTAGTCTACATTATCTACTGCGGATTTAGAAGAACTCACGCTTGACATTGCCTTTTACATACCTTTAGCTTATTTCACATTTTTTTGCTTGTGAAGTATTGAAGTATTACATTAATCTTATTTAGTAACTAGTTATTAAGATCGGTTTTGCTACTAATAAACTAAAGTTTAATTAACACTATAATGTTAACGTTCTTATATTGTCCAAGGAGTGTTAACTGAAATAAAGAAAATGTTATCTGTACGTCGAAGGTAAGTATGTATTTTATTCGATACTTTGAATTTATGAATATTGTGCTTGATTGTGACGTACTTGATATTGTAGTAAAATAATTAAGAGAGCATTAGTGTTTTCGGAAACCGCGGCGTAAATATATACGTAATGTTACGTCTACTCCATATTTAGTATATATCTCCTTTGCGATTAAAGCTCACAATTTAGTTTGAATTTTGGAAAATTTCTTTACAATCATTTTAGGACGTCAAGTTCATATAATAAATATTTTTGAAAATTAATCACGCTAATCAATTGTTTGCTAGTTTATAATACAGTATAAAACATAGAAATCTACACTGCATTTTCGATTATAAGACATTCCCTTCTATACGTTACTTACATTTTCGTAACTTTAACTTTTCTTTTCACTTTGTGTTCACTTTAATTTCAATTTTAGTTTCTATTCCAACCACTTATCTTCTAATTTTATTTTATATTGAATCGGTAACGTAGGAAATGGTTCTGAATCGGTAATGTAGAAAATCGGAAACTAAAATGGTTTAGCGACTCTAAAGATATTAAGGCGTAAAATCAAAATACGTACCATGTAACAGCTTTATCCGATGTTTCGTCTATACCCCTTCTACAATTTGCTTTTCTCCTGACAGAATTTTCTGATTCGATAAAGTTGCATCTTAAGTGTCTTTACTTCAAACTTCTAGATGGCGCAGTGATCACGAACGCGGAGTGATTGATTAGGTTGTAAAATAATATAAGACGATCATTGCATGACAGTTGTTGGGACAGTTTTATAGCGATAGTATGTTTCAGGTACGAAAGTAGACATTTGGTGCTAAAATGGATGAGTTTTATACCGAAATTTTATCATTATTTTATAAGGTTTACGAGTGCAAGGATTTTAAGTAGAAGACATCTAGTGGCGATTGTAATGAATACATTCAAGAACATCTCTGATAAACTGTGCTCGTTGAACTCCTTTGAGTGATCAGAAATTGCGACTATTAGCCTTGCAAGAAATTTAAACGGCCGTCCTTGAGCTGGAGGAGCCTGCTACCCATCGGTTAGATAAGACAATCCTTTTAATGAGCTTGTCATCAAATTGCTATCGAATTTTAAGATCACCGACTGTTTCGTGTTGCTGAAATGGCTCCCTTAACCGATAACGAGATCACTTGGATCCGAGATAACCTAACAACGCTTGAGAATCTCGATCTGTAAGAAGAGGTTAGAGTACTCATTCAATGGACGAATAACGATTTCGTCCAGTTTTATCCAGGTTCTGAAATAGAACGAAACAGAAAAATGACTTTATCGATTGCCGCAAGTCACGTGTTAATCATTCTTCGTTTTAGGTTATTCGAACAATATTCCAATACGTGAGTTCGATGTTGGCCATTCAAGGAACGATTTCTTCGGTTCTATGTAAATTCGAAGTTACAAGAAATGATGGATAATTGATAGTCCACGATATAGTTTCAATTGCTGCGTCAGAGACCTTTCATTCGCCGAAAATACAGTCGTAGCATTCTAAGAAGAGAAAGAAGAAAGAAGCTGGAACTATAAAGGTTGGTAGTCGTCTCGACGTATTTTCCATATGCGCTTCCTTGAATTTTCGACACTGTCACTGAGTTTCTTTTGCGAGTCGTACCAAGATACATTAGGATGAGCATGTCGAGAGTTCACCAGCAGAGAAAGAGCGAGGTTAGCAAAAACGAAAGGAATGTCTTTCACTTAGGAATCGCCCCTCTTATGGCCCATCAACAACCCGTGGTCCTTTCTTTTATCGCAATGGAAAAATGGTAACGAATATGAGAAAAGGAAAAAAGAAGCGGGATGCTTGTCAAAATTTATTTTTCAAAATATGTCTCTTTCTTATCTTTGAGGTACTTGGTGGTTATTGGGTCTTGCAGCAATGCGTGGAAACGTAAAAACTATACCGATGGAACCGTGGCTGTCTAGATAAAACCTCGACACTGACTGGAATAACTGGATCTGGTATTCGCAAATATTGGTATCTCTAAACTCATGCCTATTAGACTGCGATAGTTTCGCGAAATCGCGACAGCGTTTGGAACATAGCAAAATTCGACTCGTTCATTGACTTCGGGGCATTCGCTGTCAAAAATGAATGACCAATAAACCCAGGTACTCGGTGAACAGCAGTATTGTCCGGTTTTTGTTTCATCCATCACATTTTAGGTTGCAGTGGGTAATGCAGACTATTGAAAGGAAGAAAGCGAGGAAGCAGTTAACGTCTCCGATAAAACCGCGTATTTAATTCGGTTGCTGTTGAGAATTCGAGAAGCAATAGGAAAGAGCGGCCAGAAAAGGGGAAAAGAAAAGGACAATAGAAAAGGAAGAATGGGAATCGCATGGATGAAGGAAGTGTTACGCGACGCAAGAGCGCGTTCCATCCAGTTAGATCTGGCCTAGGTTGACCAAGCCACCTAGGGAGGCGAGATGTCGGGGTGGGAGGCGCCCCTGCTGATCAGGGGTGTTAGTTGGGGTGGAGGAAGAGGGTGGACGAATAGGTGGAAACGCATGCGCTTCCTTTAGCCGGTATGTTGGCAGGGATGCTCGGCCAGAAGCGAGACAGAGATGCTAGCGAGAAAGAGAGAGAGGGAGAAAGAGCAACCCCTAACGATAGAGAGAGAGAGAGAGAGAGAGAGAGAGAGAGAGAGAGAGAGAGAGAGAGAGAGAGAGAGAGAGAGAGAGAGAGAGAGAGAGAGAGAGAGAGAGAGAGAGAGAGAGAAAGCGAGAGTACGATATCGCGAAAGCAGGAAGGCGAGTGCGATAGGGTGAGAAGACAAGGATCTAAAGGGTAAAAGGGAGAGGGCGATCGTGGAAGCACGACGAGAGGGATCGAGAGAGACGAATCGAGTGCGTCGCGTCAAAGTTGGAGGAAGAAAGGTCGAGTCGAAGGGGTAAAAATGAAGAGAGAAAACTAGAGTGGCGCGCAGCGATGGCTAGAAGAGGAGGGAGGAAGCGAGGTCTGCCGCGTCTAGGCAGCTCGAGACTCTACTCCCACCCAGCTCTCCTCTTGCTTGCTCGCTTTCTCTCTCTCCTCTTTCAGTGTTCGTTCGAACACGGCCCGGTACGGTTCTGTCGCCCCGTGCTCGAAGGATCCTCTTCGTGATGGGATCTCGCTGCCGTGGTGGTATCGGCAGGTTCCCTCGGTAGCCGATTCCCCGATCCACCGATGTCGCACGGTTCGTCAGGGTGACACGCGCGGTTTCTAGTCAGGTAGTTCTCGTTTGCGGTCAAATAAAATCGGTATATAGACATCGATACATACGATCCGGAGATAAACGTCCGTGCTTTTCGATACGGGAAACGGGATTCGAGAGGAGCAGCAAAGAAGGAAACGGAGAGAAAGGGTGAAGTGCTTGTCGAGAAGAGTGCGAGATCGGGAGGAGGAGGTAAGTGTACGTGCAGAAACGGAGAGAGCCGTGAACAAGAGGACACCCGAAAATATTATACCAATGGAGAAACGGTAGTGAGAACTCCGCTCGAGGGAAGAAGCGGGTGCGTACGAGTGGCGACTAGGATTCCAATTGAAAACAAGAGGATAGGATAAAAACCTGTTTATCCTAACTGTGGACAATCTTCGTCTCGGACTCGATCGGAATCGGAGCTGCAGGTTTCCCGAAATCGATCATCATCGTTGTTTACTCTGCGAAGATCGGGCCGATTCGTCGTTGGAGTCAGCGTGAATAGCAGGTCCGACCGAGGCTAGCCAAAACGTTCCCGTTGTACGAAAGTAAACACGCGAGGACACATCGAGAGAAAGATGCCGGGTAATTATTCGGCCCGTTGCGAGCCCGGTCTAGTGGTTCCAGTATGGAAACCGGAGGAAAACCTCTACCTCTTTGACGTGATCATCCGTGGATTCGTCTACTTTCTCTTGTTGTTGTATCTGTTCATCGGCGTGTCGATAATCAGCGATCGTTTCATGGCGGCGATCGAGGTGATCACTTCGAAGGAGAAGGAACTGGTGGTTCGCCGTCAAGGTAAAGAGCCGCAGATCGTCGTGGTGCGAGTGTGGAACGAGACGGTAGCGAATTTAACGTTAATGGCGCTGGGCAGTAGCGCTCCAGAGATCCTCTTGTCGATTATCGAGATCTGGGCGAAGAACTTCCAGGCCGGAGAATTGGGGCCTGGCACGATCGTCGGCTCAGCCGCTTACAACCTCTTCGTCATCATCTCTTTGTGCGTGTTCGTGATACCGAATGGGGAAACTAGGAAGATAAAGCATCTCAGGGTCTTCTTCGTCACCGCCGCGTGGAGCATCTTCGCTTACGTTTGGCTGTATGTGATCCTGGCAGTTTCCAGCCCAGGTGTACTCGAAGTGTGGGAAGGTATCCTAACATTCTCCTTCTTCCCGGCCACGGTGCTCACGGCGTACGTGGCCGATCGGCGTTTGCTGATCTACAAATATCTACACAAAGGCTACAGGATGAACAAGAGAGGTGTGATCGTGCAGGCCGAGGCCGGTGACTCGGACGGTGGGGTGGAGCTTGAGATCAAACCGCAACAGGACAGCTTTCACAGCATGACGGACGCCGACACGCCCGAAGCGAAGGAATTCGAACAGACCAGAAGAGATTACATCAACACCTTGAGGGAGCTGAGAAAGAAGCATCCGACCTTGCCGTTGGAGCAATTGGAAGTGATGGCTCACGAGGAGGTGCTCGGAAAGGGGCCGAAAAGTAGAGCGTTCTACAGAGTGCAGGCTACCAGGAAGATGGTCGGCGCGGGAAATCTGAGCAAAAAGATCAGCGAAAGGGCGCAGAGCGACCTTAGCGAGGTCAAGGCTGAGCTACAAAGGCAAGAGGCTGAGAGCATCGACATCGAGAACGTGAATGCCATGAGGATCTTCTTCGAGCCCGGTCATTACACCGTGATGGAGAACGTTGGTACCTTCGAAGTGGGAGTGACCAGAGCAGGCGGTGATTTAACCAAACCGTGTACCGTCGACTACTGCACCGAGGATGGCTCTGCCGAGGCTGGTTCCGATTACATCAGCGCGAAGGGTACTCTGACTTTCGATTCGGGCGAGACTAGGAAGACCATCAAGCTGTCCGTCATCGACGACGAGTTGTTCGAGGAAGACGAGCACTTCTACGTCAGGTAAGACCGTCGTTTCCATTCTTTCCCGCTCATCTCGCTGCTAACATTCTTAGTCCAACGAGGCCTCCTAATTTCCGCAAAATAACCATTCGCGTTACCATCGTTTCGTCTTTTACAAACCTAGCCCGGGACGGTGATACATCTGTCCGTATCCCGACGAAGAGTTTACGCGATTCGACGCATTCGTTTAGCAAACGCTGACACTGTCTAGATAATAATGGCCCCAGTTTCGAGAACTTGGCACATGAGGCCCTCTATCCATTGTCGTGGACTTGGGAGAAAGGCAAGGCAACGTGAACCGCTAGAAATCGCAAGGAATCGGAGACTTCTCACACGAGCTAGAAGATTATTCGACGTTCGTTTCAGTCAGCCGAACTTTCCAAATTTTCCTGTCTCTTACTCCATCGGCTACCGTTCACCGGTGTTGATTAATCGACGCTAACAAAGCTAACGTATATGCAACGACTCGACATTTTCAGCTGACAGAAATTCGCCGAAGAGTCCTCTACGATTCGTGCAGCAACGATAACACTGGCTCTGCGATTAGAGGAGCAAGAGAGGGACAGGTGTTGGTTCCGGAAGCGGGGAGACCGCTGGAACGATAGGAACGATATGAAGATATTCGGGGGAAAGGATCAAGGACGCGTGGGAGTCGGTTTGCAGAGCTGCATGTACCCCTAGTTTTATTGCCACGGTCAATAACGACGCGGAAACTCGAACGAGCGTCTCTCCGGCGCACGCTAGCCGTCTATTAAGGCTAGAGACGAATCAGCGGCTTGAAATCGCATTAAGCTTTCAAGAAGCACGATCGGCGAGGGAAGAGATAGAAGGGCGACGCGTGTCATTGGTCTGCGAAACGTTTAGGAACCGATCGGCCGACCACGTGTCCCGCCTCACGGATCGCTAGAGTTTTGTAGAGCTATATGACAAAGGTGATGCGACCTTAAGTTACGGTGCTCGACTAATTATAGCGTGTAAGAGTATAAATAATCATTACGCCACTTCTATTCTTCCGCCAGGCTTTGCTAACGCGGGGATCGAGTTTTGGATTACGCTACTTTTGCGCCAGCCTGCATTCCCGGCGAACGTGCACGGAATTTCAAGGGTACGCCTGGCGTTCGATCGGGGCGAGGCAAGGACGAACGGAGTACTCAGTCGGGGAAAGGTGAAAAGCGTTTCGCGAATTGTCTTCAACCGCTGAATGTGCTCATCGGGGAGAATACAGGAAGAGGGAAATCAAAGAGAAGGGACAATGGAACAGCCTGTTCTCTGTCAAACATGTCAGACCTTGAAAAATCGCGCGGCGTGGTGAAACCAGCAGGAGAAATATTACAAAACGTTTCATTGTTTTCACGAAACATATTGGACCCTGAGAAACGTTTCCCCCCTTTTTTTTCGCCGGTTTGCTGCGCCGTCGATGAGAACTGGGTCGAGGTCGAGGAACAATATCCGACCGGAATGGAGATAAATAAAAGGAACTTGGTTGCACATTGTTTAAGGATCATCGGGGAGTAACGAGCGTCGAGATTGCTCCAACATTCTTCCTGCTTCCGTCAGTCGGGATTATGGGACGATCCGAGATGTACGAGATGCTCGTCCGCGGAACAGCTTTGTACATTCGAATACGCTACACGAGATGACAGCGTTTCTCGTTCTTTGGTCAAAGTGACAGGACTCGATTAGCGTTCATGGAAGAGCAATCGGGATGCTCCAGTTCCTCTTTGAAAAACAGGAAGCGGATTCGACATACACACACACTGGGGGGCGTCTGCCTGTCGACGAGTTAGCCGCGATAACAAATGGATAATCGTCAGGGAGCGCATCTTCCAATTAACCTCGAGCCGGATGGCGCGCGCAATTTCATTACGGCTTAAATTCCGCGCACAAAGGACTGGCCTCTCGTTCGCGGCTTCATTGACATTTATACCGCTGCGACGTCAACCCCCCCAATTGTCATCGACTCGACGACTAATCGTTTCGGCCGGTCATCTCTGGCCAGGCTTGTAGGCGACTCTCGCGAATCACGGCCGCCATCTTGGAGAACGAGCGGTCCGCGAGTCGAGTTCGAAGATCGCGACAGCCTCAGGGGACCATGTTCGAGTAGGCAACGCGCCACTCGTGGTCTCCTCGCGGACACTTGGGCTTTTATCTAACGAAGAGACCGCGAGAAGACAGCCGACTGGAACACGGCAGCGGTGCTTCGTAGTACTCGAGACAAGTAGCAGCTAGTTGGATTAAGAGCGACAAAAATTTCTCCACCCCGAGCTGTCCTCGTTTAACCAGAGCGGACGAATTCTTGGAACCCTTTCGATTCGTCGAGCAGTGGCTGCTGAAATCCTCCCTGGGCCTCTCGAGTTCTGCGAACGATCAAAGGAGCCTGGTCCTTTATCTGCTAACGGAATCAGAGTATAGCAGGTGTGCAATCCGTATACGATTATACGACTTCTTTTCAGTTCACCTTGCAACGACGTGGACTCCTTGCCAGCGAGCCGAGCATAACTTTTCATCGTTATGGGTGACTATTATCATCGAACGTCGAGCGTCCGCTCTCCGCTACAAATGATCGTATTAATTAACTCGGTTGGTCAGTCAGTTACCTCGTTCGATCGAATTTTCGTTATTCCGACTCGATTTGTACATAATTCATTGTATGTCGTTCGAAATAGGTCAGAAGCGTAGACTCGTGCTTCAGTCGAGAAGAGCCAAGTCTACCGTGACTTGCTAATGATGGAGGATTAACTCGAGCGACAAGGAACGGGACCCAGGACACGTTTGATTAGCTCTGAAGAGTCGACGAAGGATGGATCGTTTCATCTCATATGCATTCAACCACCCCTGATCGACCATCCCGTCACGCATCAGTCGAAGACACGTTTCCTCGCTTGTAATCCAGGGCAATCGCGTTCGAGATCGTCGCCCTTGTTGAAGCGCGTCAGGAGGGTCCCTGAATTTTATCGACCACGACTTCTCGCTTTAAGAACCAAGAAAGGGAAACGAGGATCGTGCTTAAATCTTCGGGGGAAAACTAGCCATCGAGGTCCTCCCGAAATCGCCTGTCGATCAGGGATTAGTGGGCCCGGAGGGTGCCAACTTCCGCGGCTATCTCCGCAATGGTACCTCGTAACGCAGTCATGGGTCAGCTCTCTTCGCATCGTTCCTTTTTATTCCGTCGAGAGATCACCGTTTGACTTCCGTGCACGACTCAGCCCTGAAATTATTATCTCCGCTGCGAGGAAATAAAGTTCACCGATTAGCACGCGTTTAGCACCGTTATTACCAGATAACGTCGAGGATCGAAATCGGCCTCGATTTGGCCAGAAAACGAGGAGAAATACGACAATGTACGCCGAGATCTCACGACCGGCAACGATTTTCTTAACTACGCGATAATCTTCGTCGATCTCGCGACACGCGCGAGCTTTTCACACAGCAAAATGCGATAACGCCCGTGGCAACTCGCGCTCGGTCGAGGCGAACAAGATGGACGGATCTCGATAACGAGGAAACCACGTCGCGCTGCCATTTTTTCGTAATCGTTAGGCCGAAGGACCAGGTCGAGGAGAGAATAATTACGACCACGGACGGTGGATTTCGATTCGAATTCGTGCATCGAGACACGACGGACCAGTTCCCCGTGTCCTAGCCACTACCAAGGAAGAAGCAAAGCTGCGGAGGCACCCGGGATTCCTCCGCCGTTGTCGATGGAGCGAAGAAGCGCGGCACATTAAGCTCGAGCGGAACTCGTGGCTGGAGGCACGTTCCAAGTTATTTCGAGTGCCCCTTATCTGCCCGGCTCCGACCAAACTTTCCTCACGGAAGAAAAGCAATTAGCTTAGATGGGCCGGTTTGATCGGCGGAAGTGTTCCATTGCAGCGCCGCTTCTAACGTTACGACGCGATAAGTCGCGATGACGGACGAGTGGAGAAACAATTCCACTGGACAAGCGGCAAAAACGAGTCTCCAAAAACTTAGCTGGTCGAGTGGAAAATCTTATCAGAAAGGGACAAGAGATAGCTTCGTTTGTCTTGATGGAATTAACCCTTTTAGTGCCGAGCGGAAAACGAGTGCCCATGCGAAGATAACAGGACGAATTTACTAACAAAAACCAAACTAAGAATGATACTTAACCGCTTGCACTATTCTTACGAGTCTGACTCGTGATGAAAATTTTCGCCCAAACTTGAATATCACGAGTCAGGCTCGTTGTTTCATTTCATGCCAAACGTGGATATCACGAGTCTGACTCGTGATCTACATTTCGGGCCAAACGTGAATATCACGAGTCTGACTCGTTGTCTACTATTCAGGCCAAACATGTATATCTCGAGTCTGACACGTGGTCTTAATCTCGGACCAACTATGAATATCTCGAATGGGCTCGCAGCTACCTCGAGCTCCGCCGTTCGGCTCCTTCCCCGAACACGAGTCGGTTGAAAGCCTAATTCAGGGAATTAGGCCTCAGCACTTGGAATCTGATTGACAGATGGTCCGCAGGAAGTCGGGGCCAGGCCACGTGACCTGGCTTCGACTGACCTCTACTTCCCTGTCATAAACCGAGGGTGACACAACCGCGGTCACCTCTCGGCAAGGGTCACCATGAAGGTGACTCTTCGGAGGGCCTCACCCGGAAGCAGGAGTTTTCTTTACCACTGATCTTGACGTGAAGGGAGTTTCTCTTCCTTCGGGGGAGGCGTCTGCTTTTCGGACAGGGTTAAGAGATGAAGGCAGTTAGTCACGGAGTTAGTCAAGGAGCTAGTCCTTAGTCAGCAAGTCGAGTCAGTCGTTAGCTCGAATAGGTACCGAACCAGTCGTCAGAGTCAGAGTATAGAGCAGTCGGAGTCCGAGTGACCTTCTGCAATATACTCGGTACCACGAAACAAATACAGTTCTGTCAGAGATTCACGGGGTAGCGTTTTCGTTCGATACCTCATTTACCATCTCTACTTTGATCCCTAAATTGATGATAACGTTATCGGTTGCAGGTTGAGCAACGCGTCGCAGCCAGCCATGCTGGTGTCGCCCAGTTTGGCGACCGTAATGATCCTCGACGACGATCACAGTGGCATATTCGGATTCCCTGAAAGGGACATCGAGCTGGTCGAGAGCGTGGGCCAGTATCCTCTGCGGATAGTGAGGTACAGCGGAGCCAGAGGTCGCGTGGTCATCCCCTATCGCACCATCGAGGGAACGGCTAAGCCTGGCAAGCAGTACATGCACACCGAGGGCTCGCTCACTTTCGAGGACAATCAGACCGAGTAAGTACGACAGAAATTTATTTCCCATAATTCTCGCACGAGTGCTCGAGTTTGTTCATCGAGTTGGTCACGTTTCATCGCTCACGTTGCTCGCAGTTGACAGACAGGGTCTCGATCAGGAGCTAATCGACGAAACGGTCCAGACGAAGACACGAGTTCGACACGGATGAAACCGACTCTGTAAGCGTGTATTTACAGATGACTGACTAAGCGAGGTAAATGAAATTGGAATCGCGTGGCGCATCTAACTCGAGGCCAGGACGTGACTGAAAGTTAGGGGTGAATTCTGTACGCAACGAAAGCAGTGGACGCGAGCGAGATTTATCGGCGACCTTAATTGGTTTCTCAGCGGGTGGCGCAGTTCTGTGAAGAGCTTCGGATTAGATAATTCGCTAGGACGATCGGCGATGCCCGGTTGCGAAGGTGGTCCTAGCGTTTTTACTCGGCGAGTGATATTTCGATGAGGATGGTGAATCAGAAAGATAAGGGAGAATGGAAATTTATTCTCGACCTTAATCGAATCTTCGTCAGGGAGAAGCAAAATGTCCGTTTCAGCATTTCGACGAGAGTTCCAACTGTATCTAATCTGATTAGAACGCTGTATAATTAGGCGATTGGTCTTGATCCGGCATCTAAAATTTCTCCAATCGCTGATGCTTATCGGTATTGCCTGGGATCTCAATCATTCGCAGAGTTTGAACGAATTTTTAAGTCCTTTAACGTCTCAGGAACATGTGACCACATGGAAGGTCTCAGAGTCTTCGACGAACTTGGTCGTTTAAAATTTCTTCGAAACATCGATGCTTATATTCAGAGTCCCAATGAGTCGTTTCTGCGCCCGAATCGTGTCACGATACGAGCTTTAACGAGGTCTCGTAATCGAGAAGCACGAGGTATAATACAAACATGGTCTGTGAATAGACAATTAAGAATTCGGAATTTCTATACCTTGAGATTTGTTAGAAAAGTGGAAGATTTCCAATACATGTAACGCAACGATAGAACAATAGATCATTTTATTGCACGAGGAGAAATCTGTTTAGAGTGGTTCGGTATGAAATCGACATAGTATTTGTATGGTAATAATAAAATAACTAGGTCATATTAAATATTATATGCACATCGTAACATCGTCAAAGTGGGAACAAGTAGTACCGATAATTGAAAAGAAGATATCCATAGAAAATACAAAGGAAATTTACAAAAATGTGACGTTGGAAAATCAATTACTGGGAATGCGATTTTTTAAATTTTATTGAAAAGATTTTCTATTCTATGAACAAGTGATGCACAGTTTACGTTATTTCGACATAGAAAATTCCGTATTTTAGATCCATTTGTGCACACGAGGCAAGCACTAGCCGAGTGAAACGTTATCTTTACATCGATTTGCATTGGTATACTCCACGTACTAGTAAATACTAGCAAGTAATTACCGCAATACTATAGCCTGGCTCGTTGATAAGTATAAACGTACCTTCGCTGCGTAACATGGAAACCTATTCTCATTCGAACACTTTCCTCTGGCGATAAATTCACGTAACGTAGTTTCCATACCTGTTCTTACACGAATTTTGTTTCCATTCCGATTCACACGTGCGTCGACTCGCGCGACGAATAACGAGAGGAAAGAAAATCCGATCGTGCCCTACTGTAAGCCTACGAATTCGAGGAATTATTATTCGTCCAGTTGCCGGCCGGATTAGCGGAATTTAAAGCCTGCTGGCTAGTGGAATCGAATAAATTAAACGGTTGCTGCTCGATGGGCCGAGGCGAACGTGTAATTCGAAGGAGCGGCTGTTCCGCCTGTAAATCCGCGATCGGTCATTATCGTATCTAGTTCGCCGATTATCAGTCGTCCTGCGAGTAATTAGAGCGTGGAAGGGTGCTATGGAGTAGCTGGACTCCACCACGTGGTGGAAAATCGTCATCGTCGCCGATCCGCTTTGGAACGCGCGATTTCTCGTGGTGGACGTATATCAGCTTTGTCTCTGACCGCGAGAGGAAACTTTTTCGAAGAGGAGATTCAAAAATTCGTCGATTATCAGTCTTCCTGCGAGTAATTAGAGCGTAGGAGAGCGCTAGAAGGTGGCTGGACTTCACCCCGTGGTGAAAAATCGCAACTGTACACGTGATTGGCACTGATCTGCTTTGGAACGCGCGATTTTTCGTGGATGACGCGTCTCTGCTTGTGAGAGGAAAGTATTTTCGAAGAGGAGGTTCCAAAATTCACGATTTGTCATTATCGTTATCCAATTCGCCGATTATCAATCGTTCTTCGAGTAATTAGAGCGTGGAAGGGTGCTATGGAGTGGCTGGACTCCACCACGTGGTGGAAAATCGCCATCGTCGCCGATCCGCTTTGGAACGCGCGATTTCTCGTGGTGGACGTATATCAGCTTTGTCTCTGACCGCGAGAGGAAACTTTTTCGAAGAGGAGATTCAAAAATTCGTCGATTATCAGTCTTCCTGCGAGTAATTAGAGCGTAGGAGAGCGCTAGAAGGTGGCTGGACTTCACCCCGTGGTGAAAAATCGCAACTGTACACGTGATTGGCACTGATCTGCTTTGGAACGCGCGATTTTTCGTGGATGACGCGTCTCTGCTTGTGAGAGGAAAGTATTTTCGAAGAGGAGGTTCCAAAATTCACGATTTGTCATTATCGTTATCCAATTCGCCGATTATCAATCGTTCTGCGAATAATTAGAGCGTGGAAGGGTGCTATGGAGTGGCTGGACTCCACCACGTGGTGGAAAATCGCGATCGGCGCCGATCCGCTTTGGAACGCGCGATTTCTCGCGAAAGACTTGTATCAGCTCGGTCTTCGGGCGCGAGAGGAAACTTTTTCGAAGAGGAGGCTCCAAAATTTGCGATCGGTCATTATCGTTATCCAATTCGCCGATTACCATTCGTCCTATGATTAGTTAAAACGTAGAAGGGTGCTGTAGAGTGGTTGGACTCCACCCTGTGGTGAAAAATCGCGACCGTACACGTGATTGGCACCGATCGGCTTTAGAACGCGCGATTTCTCGCGAATGACACGTCTCCGCCTGTGAGAGGAAATTAATTTCGAAGAGGAGGTACCAAAATGTGCGATCGGTCATTATCGTTATCCAATTCGCCGATTATCAATCTTTCTGCGAGTAATTAAAGCGTGGAAAGGCGCCAGAGAGTGGCTGGACTTCGCTACGTGGTAGAAAATCGTGATCGGCGCCGATCCGCTTTGGAACGCGCGATTTCTCGCCTATGACGCGTCTCAGCTTGGTCTCTGACTGAGAAAGGGAACTTTTTCGAAGAGGAGGTTCAAAAATTCGTCGATTATCAATCGTCCTGCGAGTAATTAAAGTGGGGAAAGGCGCTACAGGGTGGTTGGACTCTGCCCTTCAGTGGAAAATCGCGATCGGCGCCGATTCGCTTTGGAACGCGCGATTTCTCGCCTATGACGCGTCTCAGCTTGGTCTCTGACTGAGAAAGGGAACTTTTTCGAAGAGGAGGTTCAAAAATTCGTCGATTATCAATCGTCCTGCGAGTAATTAAAGTGGGGAAAGGCGCTACAGGGTGGTTGGACTCTGCCCTTCAGTGGAAAATCGCGATCGGCTCCGATCCGCGTTGGAACGCGCCATTTCTCGCTTATGATTTGTCTCAGCTCGGTCTCCGATCGCGAGAGGAAACTCTTTCGAGGAGGAGGCTCCAAAGAATCGCTTCTTATTGGGAGATTCTCGTCAAGAACGGGAGTCAAACGAGCGTCGCGACGAGACAGCAGCTTGTTTGTTTTTCAGATTTAGAGCTGACAGTCGGAGACGTCGCGACGCTTCTTCTGGGTAATTTAGCAGTCAATGGCTGCTTCTCTTGAACGAGAGCCCATAAACGTTTGCTAATTTGCCGGTTATCCTCGGCTTCTTGCTTTTATCGGGTATCCGAGGCACCGATAAGTCGGTATTTTATGCAACGATGATGTAGGAATGTTCGTCATCGATCTTCGTCGATCGTTTCGGGCTCTCACATTCGTCCTCTTCTATTTTCATTTATTTATTCGTGTTTGTGGGATATATATGCGGAGTCAAGAGATAGTTTGGACACGTCGGTTTGGATCAATGATGTTGAAAATAGGTGAACAGATTATGATCCACATACATATGTCATATAAGAAACCTGATTTTTAAAAATTATTAAAAACAGACATAAAAGAAAAATAAAATTAATTAATTTATTTATTGATTTATTGAAAATAACAGAAATAATGGACGGGAATGTCGAATTTGTACAGAGGAAAGATATGAACAGGAAAGAGTAGAGTGATGAACTAATGGTAGCTTATACAGGGTGTCCAATTTGAAATTCCGCACTCATCATTTCCCAATCAATTTTTGCTAAGTGGACATGCTTCGTTTCTTTTAAATAGAATTATATTTTTGTACTCAAACAGATGCATTCTAAGGAAAATTTATTAACACGTAATACTTCGGTTTTTGTACATCGGTATAATATTTAGGAATAATAGGATTTTTAACTGCAATTCGAGAAAGTCACCTGCTCGCATAAGCTGCGAGCACCAATGTACTCGGCAATAGCGTTCGTGGTTTCCTTTCGTAGCGTGTTTTTCCATAATCGAGTGCTGCTTTCGCCGATCGATTCCGAGGGGGACAGCGTTAATCCTCGCGATTTGCTGCGTAAAATCGAATCGATCGGTTGCAGGTGCGACATAAAGAACGGCACGAAAGCGAGTCTCGTAACGGTACGCGAATAAACCAAGGATGGAAGGCGTCGATAAAAGAATGCAGTCGCTGTCTCGAGCAGAAAATACGAGACGAGAGGAAATTAAGCAGAAAATCACGCGACGAAAGCATGTCGGCATTCGAAAACTGATCCGCCATTTTTCTCGATCGCCGAACGACGTCCGTCCGATTCCGCGACTACTTTATATACCTGAACTACTGCGTCTGACCATATTCCCCCCATTCCACTTCGCGTTCTGTTCTTAATTCCTATTCCTGGAGAATT